ACGACACTTTGTGTGATCCGCAAATTGTTGTCCTGAGTCTGGGTGTTCTTTGTGTCCGTTTCATGTATGTTTGTAAAGTCCCCCGCGACACAGGATATATTCCTAATGCGGGAGTTGTCTTTTTTAAATAAATAAATAAAAAATAAATTGTTGATATTTTTTTTGTAATTGCATTTTATTAAGGAATAAACAAGGCTTAAATAAATAGCGGCTGTGCTCTTTTTAAATGTCATTGTGTTTCAGGATAATACAATAAGTGGAATATTGATGTGTCTACAATTGCACAATCATAATCACATAACTTGGTCCTGTTGATTTATGCTAAACCCAAAGAAAAAGCGAGTGTAGCCTCTATTTTTGATAATCCTACATTTCATATTATGTTACGTTGACGTAGTATAAGGATGGGCGATTCCTTGGACTATTTGACAAACTCCAAGAACTAATACGGGGTTAGGACTGTGAGATATACTGACGCTCTCTTCAATTCCTTGTAAACCGAGACACCGTGAATTTCGGCGTCTCCAACAAAATGTAGTCACTTGGGTGTAATTTATCTATAATATGTATTTAGAACTATATAGGTATGTTTATCAGCAGCCTGGTTACCATGTACAGGCTGTGCCTAGTTTGGGATCAGACGGCCGTGTGTGAGATGTGTATAGTTATTATTATTATTCTTGAGTCTCTGAGTGATCATTTCAATAGGCTCATTAAAAACGAAATTGTTCAATTTAAATCCTTTTTAAAGACAAAACGCATTTCTAACAATATCGTTGCCGCAGCTCTTTTAGCGTTGTGACAAGAGATAAATAAGAGTGTAAAAGAACCAACATCTGAATAACCTTCCGGCGCGTCTAGTTATCGATCTGATGGGGGCCATTATCAAGGAATGAAGCGTCCGTCACATCGTAAGTGTACATTTATGTTTAAAAGTATTCGTGATAAAACTACTACGCTATTAAAGTAAAACGATCATTTCTAAGTACAACTTTATTTACAACGGTACTTAAAACTCAAAATCACTATATCTGTAATACTAGGTTAAAATGATGTATTTCATAAAATAGTCAATACAGTACGAAAAAACTATCTTTCTAGAGTTGGATACAATTTATTCTACGGTAATGGCTTTTCTTGAATGGCATACTTACAATAGTTAGTAATACAATGTTGATTATAGAATACAGGAAACTTGCAGGCTCGGCTGGCCTACTGTTCACTAATAATACTGAGCACTAAATTAGGTATGTCTTTTAATTTAAGATTTAAAGATTCGCGAGTCTGATTTTCTAATAGAAGTTTTGTTAAAAATAGTACACAAATATCTTTAGGGACATATACACGGTGATTTTGAAAGCGTTTTGGAAAAGAAAATTTTGAGTTATTTATCAGTAACAGAAGCTATATATAACGTTAATTTAATAAAATATATTTTTTTTTATCATCAAAGTCGATATTCATATCGTTTACAGAGAAAAAGTCAGAACCAGTAGTAGTAGGCTATTCAATCACACGTAGGTAAATACTACGAATAGAAATACTATGCGTGTCACATCAAATCGTATTCGCCAATAAAAACAAAGCTACCGAGTTGCGCCGGAGTCGTCCAACCAATGACGTCTGCCCCGTAGGCGCATGCGCGGGGCTCACCTGTCATCGTCAGTCGGTCAGTAATACCATAACATCGTGACGGCACGCTGCATTGATTAGCGCTAAAATGAGTCGACAGTACGAATTTTCAAACGTGGAATACTTCTTGGCAATGGTACAGCTGTACGCTACTGCCAACTACAACTTGGAAGAGGCTCGGCGTTTGTATTCCCAAGCCGGAGCATTTAAATGCACTACGGCTACGTGGAATTGAAAGCCCTCAAATTCCCTCCACACCTACTATCTTGGCTGCAACCCAACGTCTTCTCTACCACGGACAATTTCGTGCGCCTACTCATACGCAAGGTCAAGGACGTTTTAATTATTATTCGCCGGAGTGTAGTGCGTGCATACCTGGACAATGAGCTTAGTGATCGGACTTAACGCCCCTGGATTTTTTCTTATGGTCGGAAATAAAAAGACTAGTTAATACACGGGAATATGAAAGCCGTGATAATTTACGCATTGCGATAGTGGACGCTTTAAAGTGAAAAGTGATAGAGACACATTAAGAAAATTAAAAAACAATTGCATTAATCGTGGACGTTTGTGTATTGAATGCAGCGGACTCCATTTTGAGCAGTTCCTTCGATACAGAGAACTGTAAATAGTGTAAATAGGTATGTAAGTTAATTATTCTGTAGATAGCTCCGATTTTTTAAATACGCCTGAAATATTTATACCTACAGTCCGTTGATAAATTGATTTGTTGTGAAAAGAACAATCGTGGTTAATAATCGAAAAGAAGTTTAAATAAAATAGGTATTTCTGACGGTCCTAAGCCCGTGTAAAGTATGAAGGACAAATTGGAGTCTATCTACGTAAGTACTCGCTAGCTCGCGCCTATAGGTATAGTTTTGTCAGCTGTTGTTAGCGTCGGCGGTGCGCAGCGGCCGCCGAAACGCCCACGGACGTGTTTCATTCATATAAGATAATGAATGAACGATCAGTCCATTACTACTTTCCAAGTCGATCGAGTAAAAATGAATATTAAAACTGAAACTTTTTTTTAGACAACATTACAATTGATTTAATCATTTTTATTGGTACTATAGATGATTCCAAATTCAAATATTTCGTTTCCAAAACGCTTTCAAAATCACCGTGTATACCTTTATCGTCCGATCAGACCTAAGTCCTGACAATGTTAATGCAGCACTACTACAGGACAGGTGCATTTTTTACTGCCTATTTTTATGTGAAGAAATTTGCCAGATACAGAAAAATATGACACGCCAAATAAGTAAGATAAATTTGAGAAATTTATCACCTTTGTTGTCCCGCCAGGCTCTTTTATGGCGTTCATTTTATTATTTTTTCGTACTGTAATATTGTAAAATCCTAAAATTGTATAATTATTATTATCATAATACAAAAAATTATATCTAATAAGAAGAAGATATGAAAAATATGTACATCGAGATACTACGACTTCTCTATCTTCATTAGATGTAAGTATTATAACTATTAGGTATAATATGAAAATGAGTAAGTATATCTATTTTCTAGTAGGTATACATTATCGAATTATAGCAATGGTAAATCTGAATTTTACAAAGTCTTTAGTAGAACTACATTACATTTAATACTCATTATTGTCGAAAATTAGATATTACACTTTAAACAGTTACTTAAAAATGTACTACAATTATTATCGATCTCTCATAAAATATAAATTAACAGTCTTAAATAAATAGGATAAGAAGACCTATATGCTAAGTACCTGAGTAGCATGCTCCTCGCTCAATCGCTGCCATTCATGTTTTTATAGTTTAGCGACTTGTACGCATAATGGTGGTATGTTTCCTTTCTCTGACATTTGGATCCAATTCTACTTGATCACGATCATTTCTTTTCGAGAGAAACATCGGATAAACATAAATGTGTCGTACCTTATAAATGAATATTACTGCATTGACACGTTTAATAAACCGTACTTAGTTTTTATAGAAATGTTATTTTTACTGGGTATTTAACGCTATGATTTTGTTGTATAAGTAATGACTAGCTACAATATTAATAAGTATATCTTTGGCAAAAGAATTATATGAGTATTCCATGAATGGTATTAAAGAATAAATTAAATTAGGATGTTAATACTTCTACTTGATTTAAGTTTTTAATTGTAAGATTGATTCGTATAACTGAATGACTTTAGTTATCCAGTTGTACATTCAGTTATACATTTAAAAAATGCAGAAACATCGAGAGATCGACGCTATTCATCAGACATACAGATACAATAGTCTAAAATGTAAATAGCCTTTTGCATATTTGCCGACTATTCTTCAAATGTAGAAAATAACTCGTGTAAATATTCAGTAAAAATGTAAAAAAAAACTTTGTAAAGAAATCAAAAGCGCTACACAATCGAACTGATATCAAACTTAGAGCTTTTCTTATTGATGTCAATTCTATCTGATAGTCTAGATTATTGATGAATTTCTAAAATTATTTTGTATTAAAATTATGTTTTCAATAGTTAGTAGGTATATTACCCATTATTTATATTCGAAGGTTATTAAGTTACTACCTACTTATTACTTTTACATATTCCAATTGTCTTTGAATTTTATTATTGTAGGTACATATTTTTTTTTCTAATCTAATTATTTAATCTTTTTAAATGGATCGTCGTCTTATTAAATGAAATTATTAAGGTAATATTACCATATATCATTTCAACAATAATTATTTTCGATTTCAGCGAATACGAATATTCGGTACATCACGAGTACTGACTTACGTGTTGTATTTTTTTTTAATTGAAGAAGTAATCGAACCATCTGTTATTAGTTTTCAGTGTCATCAAATTAAGCAGAGATGCAACTCCGAAGAAAATCGAAAACAAGGCTGCACTTCTTAAAAATATGGATTTAACAATATAGTAGTTACGATGTTTGAGTCAAGGGAAACAGAACCTATTGTCACATTTAGAAAGGAGAGTTATTATGGAGAGTCATTCAGATCTTAATTATCAAGGATACAAAACTATGAGAATGAGGTGAATACTCATTCACTCTAATTGCATTTTAAATGACATGTTAATTCGTGGCAGATATCGGTATTATATGATATCCTTCGCAATGACTGATCACTTGTCTCGAAAACTAGGTAGTCGAGTAAGTTAAGTAGATAGTGTTGTGTCTACTACTGATAAACGAAATACTACGAAATAATATAACGCTATGTTGTATTAGAATAAAAATTATCGTGAGTGATGCTCATATTTAATCAATATTTACGGTTTGCCTGACTAGTGTCGGACTCGACAGTGGCGCTCTTTATCGAGAGGTCTAGCGACCTACCGCGTCGGATTTCAAACGAGTCTCAGCAATATCGTATGTTCAGTTGCAATAGTGTTCCTCGGTGGTGAGCCTGCAGAGTTGGCAGTCGACGCGGCAGCACCAGTGGTAGCGGCAGTGGCAGCGCTCGAGCCGCGACGAGCGCAGCGCGCGCCGCCCACGCCCGCAGCACAGCCGCCCGCACCCGCCCGGCCCCGACCCTACACTCGCGTTACACTTCCTGCAGCGTTACCGATATAACTTCATTATTAACTACATTAAGTAGAGGACGAACAAGCATTACTAGCATTATTGCCTTATAAAACAGTGGCAAATTGAAACAGTCTTAATATGTAAACTTCATCATCAACAACAGTCTCTAACGATCCACTGCCGGACAGACTTCAGGACTGACCTCTCCTTATTTGATTTTGGCCTGAGTACTATACCACGCTGGCCAGGCAGGTCGGTATGAGGTTTGTTTCAAGCTTCTTTCTCTTTTCATCTACGGGATGAATAGGGGTGGTGACTCTCCATATTCTTAATCCGTCATGACACGGATATGTTTACTTAATTGTAGTTATTTTGGTTACGCACCTTCCGTGTGTCCCGAGTGAGCCAGCAGCGGGGTCGGGTTCGCAGTAGTCGGGGCTCGGCGTGACGTAACGCAGCTTGGGGCGCACGCGGCGCGTGTGCCTGCGCCGAGGCCGCAGAGGTGCGGCGCGCGCGGCCTCGCCCGCCAGCGCGCCCGCCACGCGCGCCAGCGGAGGCAGCGCGCGCCAGCACGTGCGCACCGAGCACGAGCCCGACACGCCGTGGCAAGTGCACTTCGTGCGCATACCCGCTGACACTGCCTGAGATCACATACGCTTTTGAGCAACGGGAATGTAATAAAATGAAGACTAAAGATTTATATCCGTATAGATTGAGGAGCCACTTCAGATTTGAAACGGAAACTCACCCCTTATTTAGTGGGTGAGCAAATAATTTTGTAGGACAAATTTTTAAATTTGTAGTAAGATATATCCAAAGTTACATCAATGTAAAAGTCCTAAATCTAAACATCTTAATTGAGTAGCCACCTGGAACACGGAAAAAATTTGATGCTTTTTTTTAAATTGAATTGATAATTTTGTATTATTTAAGTTTAATAAAATTAATAAATTAATGGTAAAATTATGTATAGTGCCTTACTAACAGAGTAATGCACTGTTGATATTGGCTCCTCAATCTTTATAAATTTTTATTCCACTCCAAAAACTCTTTTGTAGCAAGTGTGTTTGAGTTTGTGGCATAAGGAGAAAGTAGTTGACGATATACGACGGATAAATAAACGTTTTGCATAATACGACTGTACCTACCTGAGATCTCAACAGAAACAAAAATCAGAGGCACTAAAATTTACTATAAATGTCTACTAAATATATATGTACAGATCAACATTGTATATATTCGATACCTGAAAAATAAACTACTTTACGATATTTCTCAAGAATATCTTTAGGGTGACCCTGGTTAAAATGCGAAATCACGAGGACTAGTTTTTGAAATGTAATTTTCAACAAATCGACACTTATTGAAATATAGGTATGTACAGAAATTATTTATTTATTTGTTTTTTATACTTTACTTTTTTATTACAGGATTAAAATATAGATGTTTTATGTTCAGAATTTCTTCACAAGTAGTATATTAGAGTCAAATCTATTTACCGAAGCATTTTAACTGAGGAACCAGTTAAAATGTGCCAAATCTCCCTGTTCACTCATTTTTAATTACTGATTTTTACACTACAAATTTAACATACTTACTAGTAAATGATGAAGAAATTGCGCATCAATTGAAAAACTGCTTCTTTTAAAAAATGACAGTCGTATGTATGGTCTGAGGAGCCACATATGTAATGTATGGGAATTGGTTGAGTGTACCCCCGCCCCGCATCCCGCAAACAATCGGGAGGGCCAAGCTTACGGCGGTTTGACTATAGTTCTAGTTGGTCTGTCCGACCAAGCGTAGATATTATCTACCTAAGTTATAATAACTCTATTGATAAGTTAAAAACTCTGTGTTGGAAAATAAACATTTTTTTAATTGTTTTCAAACGATTTAAATAATTAATTTGATTCGGTTTAAAACCACTCTCTCATTCGCGCGACGGCCATAACGTTGTCTCTTTTGTTGTGAGATCAAAATTTGCCCACAATTAATGCTCGAGTTTTCAACAGTTTAAAACGATTTATTTGGGGTTTTAAACGGCATCATTTTATTGAAAACGTTTTAAATTGGTTGTTTTACATCCAAAGGTGCCACCATTCTGTTCATATAAGTTTAGAAGTATTATACTAGAAAATCGAGGATCGGCCTTACAAAATTTTTAACTACTTAATAATAATAATAATTTCATTGTGATATGAAAAGTGGCTCCTCAATCCATACGGACATAAAGATTCAATACCCGTTTATGATATTAAGTATTATTAAGTAAATTATATATATTCCTAAACATATTGCGCTCTGAGTTACTCTACTGGCAGATACTCGTATTACACTGTTGTTTATTATGGCATACAGGAGTTACTGCAGTGAGACTGTAGGTCAGATTAAACTAATAGAAAAACGTTAACAAACATTACGTTACACACAAATAAGTAAGACGACTTGAAGATGGAGGAATAAATGTGCATTACACCAGCCATTCAAATTAACTTCCAGGTATTTTCGTTTTAAGCAACTTTAAACTCATTTCAGGAATTCAGCTAATGCATTTCAGGTAGATTGCAGCTTGCTATTACATGTAATTATGTATTTTTCGTTATGTGCTTTCTAAGTTTGATAGGAGAAACTTTTTTCAAAAATACTAGAATTCGTTAACAGCTAACAAGCAAGATCAGGTTAAAACAGTACGAACTGGTTCGCTTTATCTATTTATATGTAGATGTTTATTCATATGTAGATGTTTATTCAAATTTAAAAAAAAAACAAAATTAGGTATAAGTTTCTCACTCATACGTCCTGTGGTCATAGAAAATGTTCGTAGCTGATCGTAGCTGGCGTAGCACGGTAACGCAGTTCACAGTGTACATATTTTATAGTTTATACAGACATACGTAAAGGTAGTCAAAGTGAATGACCAGTTTTACTGTGGTCATAGAAAATTTTCTTAGCTGATCGTAGCTGGCGTAGCACGGTAACGCAGTTCACAGTGTACATATGTATTTTATAGTTTATACAGACATACGTAAATGTAGTTAAAGGGAATGAACAGTTTTACTGTGGTCATAGAAAATGTTCGTAGCTGATCGTAGCCGGCGTAGCACGGAAATGCAGTTCACAGTGTACATATTTTATAGTTTATTCAGACATACGTAAAGGTAGTCAAAGTGAATGACCAGTTTTAGTTATGTTGTTCTATGCAGGTAAGTGTACTTTTTTTGTATTTTAGATGAATCGAAAGTTACCTAATCGTAGTATTATTAATAATAATTTGTTTTTTTTTATCTCAATTTTAGATGAAGTTAGCTTTTGATCGGTTCATACATTTTTTGACATCATCAATAATTTTAAAACACAAATACAATTCAAATCTACATCCTCGAAGAGGCGTATAAAACGCGTACATTCTTTACAGAACAGCACTTTAGGGATTAGATGTAGTAATTAGAAGTATATTAAAAGGAAATGTAGATAAGAACGGAAGGCAATGGTTTGAAAAATAAACTATGATAAATAATAAACTTATTTTTTTTTATTCAATTCAAACAGATTGATAATATGTATCTCACCTTGCGACCAAATCGTCCATTCATCAAATTAGCAGAAGCTATGAGCGACCTCAGTCGTTCGAGTCGCGTTTGCAGGTCCACTTGAGGATCAAATCTGGGATCGTCAGCTGCCATTCGGTATTCTATATTGCGATATCTCGAGCCTCTGTCTTCATAATCGTACCTTAAACGTTCACACACATTTTAGCAACCATAATCAGACGAATGCTGAGCTCCCGCTAATATAAGTTGCTATCAGCAACCACATACACTTGCTACAAGAGTTCTTGCCTATGGAACTCCGGTAGTACTTCGCGCCTTTTAGCTAACAGATAAACATAACTAGGTACGCTAGAAGTATTTTACAGTGAACCGAGGTCTTTATAGAGTTGTAGGAATATCCCTCTTGATGTACCTATTTTTTATTAATGTTACATAAATAAATATTATATTTCAAGCTCAATTTTCTTGTGCTTACATTTACAGTTGTGAAATACACGCTCTGAACGGATGGGAGCGAGAACGAAAAATGTATAACGAGACTTTTTTCCAACACTTCTTGCTATAGGTACTTTGTTCCGACGGGGAATCCATGGACACCTCAGGTCGTTTTTATTACTTTGATTTATAAAGTTATTAAAATTAGAATAAAATACAGATACAAAAAACAAAGGGTAATCTATTATTAAGTAATCCTATTAATATTTTATGTTACATCTCTTGTTATCTTGGTCTACATCATATTATTACCTAGATCTAGATCTGAATCGTTTTCTCGTCGGCCTGCCTCGTCGCGGTGATCGTGGCAGCCGTTTACGCCCCCGGCGCCCTTTCCTCCGATTTTTTGGCGCATCAGTTGTATTAGCTGGTGCCGGTTGATCGTCTACTAAAATCACCACCGGTGGCACTGTGGTTGGCTCCAGGGTAGTTGTAGTTGTCGGTAGTTCAGTAGTCGTCGTATCCATTTCTATGAACTGATCTACTTTGCCTTCTCGAACATCTATTTCGTGACTATCCAAAAATTGCTTAGCGAATCTAAAAAATAAAATTATATTCTACTATGATTTTTATATTTAAAACTATTTTTTTTTACGTAATGCCGTGAAGTGATTACATTCGGTGATACCTGCACAGAGAAGATGGTGACCAAGACCAATTTTTGTAAATTTTATTATTAACTGATTTGAATAAAGTATATGTTTGCACGTACCGACGTGCCTGTGGTCTAGTGGTTAGTGGCACTGACTGGTAAACCGGAGGTCGTGGGTCCGTTTTCCACCCAAAGCAAATATTTGTGTGATGAGCACGATCGTTTGGTCTGTGTCTGGGTGTAATTTTTCTATAATATATATGTATTTAGAAATATATGTTTATCAGCAGTCTGGTTACCATAGCACAGGCTCTGTCTAGTTTCAGGCCTGGGGGTGACAGGTGAGGCCATCTGTCACCCTAGCAGAAGCAGGCCGGGGTGGCGGCGAGCTCCCAGGGAGCACAGGGAACATGGGGTTCCCACACGGGGGGGGGTCGTCTACTCGTCTGTAGATGACCCGAGGTATGTCGGAGCACCAGGGACTTCCTTTCTAGGGTATACCTGGTTCCCCGGCTATTAGTACCCGGCGACGGCGTGCGGTTTTAGTCGGTTCGAGTCCGACATGCCACCGACAGGTGGTATCCGAGGGGATTTCCGCACGGAAAAAAAAAAAAAAGGCTCTGTCTAGTTTGGGATTAGACTGTCGTTTGTGGAGATGTGTGAAGTTATTATTATGTAATGTAATTATACCGTTCCGCCCATTGATAGTTGTCTCCACAGCCACCCCATTTAAATCTAGCATGAGGCTCAGCAGGCGTGACTTGAGCTTGTCTAGGAGGCCGCGGTGGAGCGCGCGGGGGCGCCGCGCACGAACACGCTGCCAAAGATCCTGCGGCGCAGGCTCGTGCAACTGACCACGCCAGCGCTGCCGCTGACATCGCGTACACATACGCTTGCTCACGAGTACCTGCAGACATAAAGTAATATTTTAAACGACATTAACAGAAACTTGACAAATCATAGTAGGATTTCGCTAATCAATCGCAGTGCGTCCTACCTTTTAGACAATGAATTCTTTTCCTACTAAGCTCTTAAAAATCTGCCATTTAGATATCCTATAAAGGTATCTAAAACAGTGTGGCTCTTTATATTTTACTTTTAGATAGTGATGTGCCGGATATCCTTATCCGTATCCGCAGATATCCAAGTGACAAGAGAGATCCGTATCCGCATCCTTATCCGTGACTTTTTTGGCGGATCTTTCAATACATAAATGAAATTCTATATAGGTGATTTTGTATTCACTGTAAATTTCTTAGGTACGTGTTTGTAACACTACAGCAACTTCTGGCCAACGTAAAAATGAAAAAAAATTGGTCCTCCATTCAAATGACCAATCAAATATTATTAGTTTGTATGGAGAAACAAATTTTTTGAAGTGAAAACTTTTTGTAATGGGTAAAAAATGTTAAACTCGCGTCAGCACACGTGACCTGATCGAAAATTCGTAAGACGGATGGCGAGTAGACAGCCGGCGCGGCGTAGGAGAGGAAGTATCCCCCTCTCTTTCTACGGCGCTGCGAAAATGTATGCCTGCGCCTACTGTTTCGTTTAGGCGGCGCAGGGTGCTTGCGCGAATGTTCGTGTGTGTTTATGTTACAGCGTGCCACCCGCATCCATGGATGGTGACACCGTCTCGATAAATTGTCATGTCTGTGTACGATAGCGCAATAAATATTGTATTCTACCACATAAATTATAGTACTTTTATACTGATAATTAAAGCAATTCGTGCAAAACGATTCCTTAACCATTCCTAAATATAAATAATGCACCACGTTAATATTCAAGTTTTCACTTCTTTCACTCATTTTCTTTCGTTTTCGATGTTAGTCCAGAAGAAAAGTTGTTGTTTACAGTGTTACTAATATGCACTTCAGAGGTTTTCAGTAAATTTAAAATAACCCTGAATAATGGTTATTAGGTAGCAATGAAAAACTATTGAATTCTGTTCAGATTACTTTTTATTTCTTATATCAAATATTTGGCACCTTTGTATTGCAATTCCAAATTACACTACTAAACTTTGTTGACATTTTTGTAGTCTCACTACCAAACACAAACTGCATCTATGCCACGCAGTGACACACTAAACTATACACAAAATAAAAGAACCGCATAGTGCAAGTCGAAATCTCGAAACATGTACTGACCTGTCTGGCACGCGTCAACGGCAAAGCGTCAAGTGGCGACAACTATCAAGGTCACGCGCTCCGATTGAGTAAGAAAGTTAAGATCCGTATCCGCGGATCTTGACATCAAATATCCGTATTCGAATCCGTATCCGCGGATATACTTTGTTAACGATCCGGCACATCACTACTTTTAGACAACTAGTTAAGGAATAAACGAACGTTTTCGTTTATTCCTTCGTTGACTCTAGTCTTCTCTAGAATACCACCACTTTTGTGCCAGAAACAGGTACGTAGTTCTAATTCGAGCAATAATCTGCTCTGTGCAGAATACAGAAAATATTTTTTTCAGTCCAAGTAATTGGAAGTTTCCATTTTTTATTATTTTGTACAGAGCCGTCGATCAGAGATTTAAAATACGTATATAATATGTATTACGAGTACAAGTTTTGCAAAGAATTTCTTGAATTCTTTTCTTTTGAATTAAAATGACTTAATTATCGTTATTTACAACACCACGCTTTTTTTTCTAAATTGCTTAAATTACTGAAACTAACATAACACTATCGTAACGTTTTTTTGTAAGTTTAATACAAAATTCGAGTAATGATTTTTCATGGTGTGAAATTTTCCCTATGACGTTCTTTTTTTAAAATGTGTAACATTCGATCTTTGACTTTGAATTGTTTTTTTTTATTCAGCTTAGACGTGACAGATGGATACTTTGAACATCCGAGTCATTTTTGAATACGAGTACCGACGCAGAACTAACGCGGCAGAAACGGCTCGCAATATCCGCACGCACATAGAACGCACCGTGTGTTTTTGGTTTAAACGTTTTCGTAATTGAAACTTTGACTTGAAGAACGAACCACGTGGAAGAGACAGACAACACTGAATTGAAGGAGATGGTGGAAGCCGATCCAAGTCAAATTACCCAGGAATTAGCGGCATGGTTTAATGTTACCCTACCTACGACACGCTCCGTGAAGCAACCCTGAAGGCCATAGCCGGGGTTGCCCAAGTCGTGGACCGGATCCGGTGGCTGGGACTCCAGGTGGCTCGGCACAAATCCGAGGCCTTGTTCATTCATGGGCCTCGGAGGAAGCCACCTGAGGGATCCAGCCTGATAGTAAGAGGAAATCGCATCCTCATCGAGCCCTGGGGCTCGTACTCGATGGCCGGTGGTACTTCGGACATCATTTTACAAGGTCTGGTCCCCAAGTTGGTTGGAGCAGCGCGTGCAATGGCGCTGCTGCCGAATATGAGGGGACCCGATGACTCCTGCAGGAAGCTCTACTCGGGGGTTATGCGGTCCATGGCCTTTTATGGGGCCCTAGTATGGGTGGAGGCCCTGAAAGCCAGCAACGTGGCTTTACTGCGGCGACCGCAGCGAGTGCTGGCTATCAGAGTCATAAGGGGGTACCCCACGATCTCCTTTGAGGTGGCGAGTCTCCTGGCCGGAACTCCACCATGGGGCCTGGAGGCGAGAGCCGTGGCGGCCATCGGAGTGGGAATTCGAATGATTACACCCATGGCATGGAACGAAAGGGCGTGGAACTCCGGAACTCCGCCGTCTCCTTCTGCGAGGAAGTTATGGTTGCGAAAGAGACGGCGGAGCGGGAACGGGAGAGATTTAGGTCCGTCAGGCCCGGGAACCACAGGCTAGGTACCGCAGGAGACTCAGGCGCCGGAGGTCGCAAAACGACTTCTAGGGTACACCTGGTTCCCCGGCTACTGGCACTCGAGACGGCCGACACAACCACCGGTGGGTGGTATCCGAAGGGATTTCCGGAAAGACAAAAAAAGGACAAATTCTCTGTAAGGCATAGTTATTGTTTATCAATTATATGTAATATGTAAAAAAATTGCTGTAAGCAACAAGTAAAAAAAAAGTTTTAAGTGAAATGTAATTTTTTTGTACTAACATAATTATGTGTGTTGACTACCAGAAATTTACGTGCAAAGTTTTTTTCATTCTATTTTACCAGTTATTATTCCCATTGTTGACACTGTTGATGACCTTTTTTTCTTTTTTTTTTTTTTCCGTGCGGAAATCCCCTCGGATACCACCTGTCGGTGGCATGTCGGACTCTCGAACCGACTAAAACTGCACGCCTTCGCCGGGTACTAATAGCCGGGGAACCAGGTATACCCTAGAAAGGAAGTCCCTGGTGCCCCGACGTACCTCGGGTCATCTACAGACGAGTAGACGACCCCCCCCCCCCCCCCGTGAGGAACCCCATGGTCCCTGTGCTCCCTGGAAGCGAGCGCGCTTCGCAACGCGCTCGCCGCCACCCCGGCCTGCTTCTGCTAGGGTGACAGATGGCCTCACCTGTCACCCTAGCAGAAGCAACTGAAGAACTGCAATCGATTTGTAAATACAAAGAAATAATACCGATATCTCTTAAGAATTGTATATTGAAGCACTAATCGATTTCTTAAACCTCCCTATTCTTAAATCTGTCAGAACAGTCAAGCGTTACCTCTTAGATTAGATGGACTATAGAGTATGTAATCATAAATATTTTAGTATCGGTATCAGTAAGGCTCACCAACGGGTAAACAAAGAGAAGGAAACCGAATGATTGGTCATTAATCTTTTATAAGAAAAGGCACTAAACTATTTTGATTACATTTTAAACGATGTACAAAATACAAATAAATAATTGCCGGTCGTCAAAATTCGACAATAAAGCTTTTGAATTTTTTGCTTTATCTAATAGACTTAAACTGTGTTTCATTAAACTCTTAATGTGTAAGGAAGATTAACTAAAAAACATATTCAAGGTATTATTGTACGACTATAGACATCATAATACACCCATGCAAAATACAGCTTCCTATTACTAACGGATCCTCTCCGTCCGTCCGTCTGCCGCTTACCTCTCAGATAAGCAGCAGACGGACGGACAGTCAAGGCAAACTTAAATAGGCTTCTTGTAAGAGAAATTTCGATCGGAAATGCGAATAATATTACCACTGGGACAGTTAATTAGGTTTTTTTATTTTCTTTAGACTCTGTTAAAGAACATATAGTGGCGTTAAATTAAAGTTAATTATTTATTAGTATATTTTTTAATTATATATGTTACAGTGTACGATAACGCCCGCACGTCCTTAGTTTAGCGGAACAATGGCATCTGACGGGCTTATCGGACAACACATCGGCAGCGCAAAGCGCGCGTGAGTGCACAGCTCACGGTTATCGTTGAATGACATCCCACCCCCGCACACACCCTACTCCCTGCACGCTTGATTCATGCGTGTAATTAAATCTTTTGTCAGGCTCGCTGTACCTCGACCCCTAAACCCTTGATCATATTGTAAGACGAGCTTTTGATTGCCTTTCTAATTTAGTAGACGAAAGATAACTTTGGGTTTCCAAAGAAAAGATTGCTCTCATCAATAAGGATTCGCAAGACTGATTTCTATGTCGATCTTCGGTCTCCGCCCACCATACTGTAAAACTAAAAAGCTTTTTTGCACAGTATATGTAATTTCCTTCATCTCAAATGCTGTAAACTATCAAATTATTACAGTAACCGCTATCTTTTTAAGCTAATAAACTAAATTGATCAGCACTTAAGTGACCATAGAACTTTTGAAGCAGTGCTTTACCTCGTTTTATTTATTAGTAAACTGTTGTGTGACAAACAATTCACTACTTAATAAAATTAAAACATACAAAATTAGAAGTAAAACTGATATATATTATATAATAATACATTCTTTACTAAATAAGACTTCTACGTGCCTCGGAGAGCATGTTAAG